GCCTGTATAATATGTACAATGGAAAATGTTAAACGTCCTAGTGGACACTATATCAAAGTAACGTTGGCTCGACGTAGAATAAACGTTTGATAATGTTGAACTGACGTTCCTCTTGGGTAAACTGAGTCTACTGTGATATAATCAAACTACATATGAAAGTGACGGTTCGATCCGCCCTGGACTCAATTATGGGACCGGGACGGACAAAAATCACTTTCATTTCATCGGTGTGACTACTCAGCAACATAGTAGCATTCTATAATGTATTATTGTTGCTGTATAACTACATCTATGCCTCGCAGTAGACACAGCGCCCGTGTCTGTAACGCTGTGATTACTGGGACCTAGGACGAGGAAGCGGGGGTTGAGAGTACTAATAGCTCGATGAGTTAGAGTAAGCAAGTTAGGGGCCGGGCCGCATTGGCCCTTAGAGACGGTCCGCTGAGGACCGTCTGACCGGTCCCCAGACCAGAATGGACTTGGACCGGAATGACGGACCACACCAGCCTCCCGACTTGGCCTGACGCACGCACACGCGCTTTTTCCTGCTGACACCTCTTCCCGTTTATGATCTAGCTCAGGAGAAACACGCCGACACTTGTACTCACCCCACACACACTGACACACACCCCACACACACTGACACACACACCCCACACACTCTGACACACACCCCACACACACTGACACACACACCCCACACACTCTGACACACACTTACACATTCTTCTGTATTTTCCATAGACTTCAAATAAAATAAAACACATTATGTGTGTGCGCGCGCGCGTTAACAGGACTGATGTATGTTTTATTTAGTAATAATTCAAGATTTTTTAGTACAAATGCAAATTAGAAAACATGTTACTGAAAAGTCAATGTGAAAAAGGCAAAATGAACCGAGCTTCGCGAAAATGAGGTAAAACATTTACAAATAGTGTCTGTAAATTTGTGTTGACTAGAACCAAAAAATGTGTATTAGTCTATTTACAAATACAAATAATCGCCAACAGAACCTTAACACCTAACGTAACATCTGCCTAAATATGCACAATATGCTAATAAATTATAATTTATATTTGAGAAAATTCCCGTTTTGAATGAAGAGCATGTAAAAAATTATGAATGCGTTTGTGGGGTCGACCTCTGGATGGAATGGAGTCGAGGAAGGTTGAAATATCACTCAGGATACCGGTCTCGAGACGATGTCAAAGGAATCAGATTCACCAAGTCATAGAAGACCCGTGATCACCCTCAAAATATCGGGACATTTTAAGAGATACCGACAAAGTTAATACAAGCGAGCAAGTCGTTTGTACCAACAAGTACCCACGAGTCAAGAATACCCAATACCCAACCTACCCAAAGTTGTTTTCCCCCCTGTCCATTACGGTGATAGGTCACCGTTAAGAGTGCACAGGTTGCAACCTATAACGACGCAACGCTCGTAGACTAGCGAATGACTGGGTAGAAATCTGAACAAAGAATTTCATTTTCAGGAAAAAACGAAAAGTTTGAATGGCCTTCTTGGGCCGATCTCATTTGAAGAAACTAACGTGGATGGGAACTCAGAATGGATCAAACTCTGCTACATCAAGCATGTCGGGCTCTCGAGGGGCCCCGAGAGTCACAAGGGAATGAGCGATCACAGTGTACTAACTTTGAGTATCTTTTTTTTTTCTTTTTTTTCAGAGCAATTACAGCGTATAGTAACCATATAAACAGGAAAGCACAGAATAACAGAGAACACAGAATAACAACACAGATAACAAGTAACACAGATCAACACAAGTAAAAACAAAGAATAACATAAAACACACACACACACACACACACACACACAAACAAAAGCAGCACTACCCAGATGGGGCGTGCCAAAAGCGTCAGTAATTACAAAAGCGCACAAGAAGCACAATAAAACCAAGAGTAAATTATAAACAAGGAATACACACACAAAGAATACACATGCAAACTAACACAAACGCAAAACACACGCACCATGCGCCACACCACACACCAGCAGACAACACACGCACCATGCACCACACCACACAACAGTAGACAACACACGCACCATGCACCACACCACACAGCAGACAACACACGCACCATGCGCCACACCACACAACAGCAGACAACACACCACAGAATCGAGAACACAATAACAAAACATGGTAATATAACACTGTAAATACAACATAGTAAGTAAATGCAGGAAAATAACAAGGGAATACAACAAAGCAATACACAGCACAGTACATAAAATAAAGGAAACAGAACACATTAGCATTACATAGTAAAATAACATAGTAAAAAAAAAGAAATCGGTATAGTACAAACCAACATTGGAACATATAACACAGGAATATGACACAGATAATAGAACAAATTGTAAATAAGCATAAACACACAAACAAATCCTGCCAAACAACACATGCCACCCATACGGGGCGTGCCAGCAGGAACCATAATGAAAAGCGCATAACACAAGGCAGCAAGACAAAATGACAATGACCACAAGCATACAAAAACACACAGAATGGAACACATATGAGACAAACACAGCCACCCAGCACACAAGCCCGACCCCCACAGACAGAGGACGGCCAGCCACCAAGCAGAAAAAACACCCACGCACCGGACACCACAGGAGAGAGAGACAGACATGCCATGCAAGTGGCATGTCTTGAAGTGGTGCTTCAAGTTGAGGACAGCCGCCTCAAGTTTGTAACGAATACACGCGCGGGAGAAAGTAGGGTGGGCCTCACCGCAATTGAGGCAGCGGGCCTGGGAAGAAGTGCACTTCAACTTAGAGTGACCCTCGCTTTCACACAGGGGACAGAGACGGGACTAGAGCATTTGAGGGTACCATGCCCAAACTTCCAGCACCTACCACAGAGCCGAGGAGAGGGAATATATTCCTGAACGGAGCACCTGGCACCAGCAAGAATAACAGAGGATGGAAGGGTCCTACCATCAAAGGTAACCTTCACAACCCGAAGAGGCAGACGGCGATGACCACGAGGGGGACGCGTAAATGTATCCACCTGGAGGACAGAATGACCCTGGGCCTCGAGGACATGCTTGATACCCTTGTGGCAGTCCCCGAGATCCCTAACACCGGTCGCAACATGGTGCGGGAGGAGAACAGTGCCCACACTGGCATTCAACCGGGCATTCTTCGAGACCCAAACAGGGGTTTCACCAAGGCAGGATAAGGCGGCCAAGCGAGTGGCTGCATCCTGAGAAGGAGCAGCAACGACACGGGTACCAAGACGAGTGGGGTTGAAGGTGACAGGCATCCACGGAGTCGACAAGATGCCTATGAAGGGAAAAATCATCAGGAGGAGTCGAGTCCAAAGGTTGGAGGTCAAAGTATTTAGTCCATGTAGCAGGACCAAACAAAGCATGGAACGAAGAAGGATGGGAAGGGAGCATACGAGAGCGGCCGCGGCGGGGACGGTGATGAGAACCCGTAGAGAGACGGGTTGAAAGGTTCAGTAGTCACAAGAAGATATGGAGCCATGCAAGGGGACGAGACTGACACCACAGCAGGCTTGGGGCTCGACCCAACCACAGAGGAGGGAGGGGAGCAGGGAGGAAGAGTCCGGTCTGGGCCTAAACCAGGGTCTGTAGCGGAGGGTACAGATCCCCGGTCTTCCAGGATGGTCCGACTCAGGGGCCTGGTCGCCCACCCCATGAGCCTGGTTAGGAGTATTCAAGTCGTCATCCATATAGCAAACCAACACAAAAGGGATGGGACCCGGAACCAAGGGATACCACCTACCAGGGCAGCCAGGGAGGCCGAGGGCGGGCCAGTGCAGGAAGGGTGTGTCTTCCCCAGCAGTGCTTCCCATTTTCAACAGGGGAGTCCTACTTCGTTCGTTTTCCCCACACTGGTGCCAAGACCCCAGTCACCGTTTGGCCCCGCCTGGACACCCAACCATCCACTCAGGGCGGCCTCTCACAGGCGACCCCTCCAGCGGGTGGTCCAATGGCTCACAAGGCCCCTACATGGTGCCCTTCAGCACGTACACCACCCAAAGAGGGGGCAGGAGAGGGGGCACAGGCAACCCACACCTGTCCCAGGGAGGTGTACGCGAGCCCCTCACCACAGCAAGCAGGCCCCACTGAGGGGACAAGTCTGAAATATCAACCCCAAAATCTTAGAATCCTCGTACACAATGGGGTGACCATAAAGCAACACAGAAGGATGAAGAAATATTTTTCATAGTAAAAGTCGTAGACAAGTCTTAAACAGAGAACTTTAAGCCATGATCGGTGGCTCAAGACGACACGGCATCAATCTCAAGTTGAAGCCTGCGTTGAAGGAGAGGCCAATCACCACCTGTAACCAAGGTTATAACACCTACCAGGGAGGCCGAGTGCAGGAAGGATGCGTCCTCCCCAGTGGTGCTCCCCCTTTTCAACAGGGTAGTCCTACATCGTCCATTCTCCCATTTGAGGAAGACACCATTCCCCTATAGCACCCCAGCCTGGACACCCAACCATCCACACATTGCGGCCCCTTACAGGCGACCCCTCCAGCGGGTGGTCTGATGGCTCACAAGGCCCCTACGTAGTGCCCTTCAGCACATACCACTGAAAGAGGCACCGCAGAGGGGTTCGTAAGAGTTACTCAAATTTTAATGCCAAAATTTTCTGTAGAATATGGAAGCGGCTCGCGAATACGACGTACTGTCGTGCTTTGGGGCCTTTGGTAGGTTAGGATAAGGACACCTTAAATTCAGAGTTCTCTTTACTTTGGAGAAAATTTAGACAGATGGGCTAGTTAACCATACAGATGGTTAACTTACGTAAAGGCATGCTAAATTAGTTACAGTAGTCATCTTTCAAGATTTCCATTTCATCATATGCATTGTAGGATCTTTGAAACCTTTAGCCAAGTTCCCTTCCAAGTGTCATTTGAAACATTGCTACAGACTTAAAGATTAAGCGATACAGAATTGAATATGGGTAACCAGCTCATTAAAATTAACACAAGCTACGAAGTAATTTAATTAGTACAAATGCACCTCACAGACTAGACTTTTACGAGCTAGATAATAGGTAACCAGCGAAGGCTGTAACGGTTTCGTTGCTCGGCGGTTCGAAGATGCTGCCCTCTTGCAACTTCACGGATATCTTGTCAAGTCTCTTTAGGTCCAGGAGCACCGAGACGACGACATATGGAAAGGTTTCTTTCCACCCGGAAGCAGTCGCCTTATCTACGCCATTTTTGGTCAAAGACATTCTGTAAACAAATGTCAATTAGAATATTTTATGCACACTCATTGGTTTCAGCACTTCTGGGTGCTTGGTACTCACGTGATGTCTTCATTCCTTTCACCAAGAGCGGTGAAGATGAAGTGATAACTTCCAGCAACAGGAGCCAAGAACTCACTGGTTGCAGTGTCCCAGCCGTCTCCTATGTTCACCATCACTACCTGTAGTGGCGAACGACTTTACCAATTGTTTTCTCCAAGATGTCTACAGAGGAAATAAATATTAATAAAAAATTACTTTTAAATTTTAAAAGAGAAGTCTAAGACAGAATGGAACAATATTTAAAGCATGGAGTTCTTAAGATTAACAGTTTATAATATGTAAGGGGGGGGGGGGGAGGAGAAAGGGAAAGTCACCCCTAAATTCTTGGTTATGAAATTATAACTAGGCTGTCTCAGGCTCAAACCTAAACAGACTTACTGGGGTAGTGAGTCGATACAATCTTTTATCCCGCTATATTTAGTAGGTCGAAATGTTAAATCTTTGCAGCCAAGTTCATCAAAAGACCCCCCCCCCCCCCTATTTGACTAAGACAATTTGCCACATGCTATAGCGTGCCCTCTTGCATGTATATAAATTTCACGTGCCAAGTACATTTTCGTGTGCTAAAACATTAGTGTACATTATACTAAATAATGCCAATTAAGTAGACTGCCGGACAGTCTCCAAGAAAAGAAAATTTTTTTTTTATTTACTTCAAAATGAACGTGGGCGATGGCGGTAAGTTTTCCTGTAGCTTTGCTCACAGAGAAAGCTACGACAGACCTAAGGAAAAAAAAAAAAATTATATAAATACATTAAACCGTTTAACAAGTAAATACCGTTTAACAGTACAATTTATTTTACTTACGGTTCTAAAATATGGGATTCCGTCACGTCACGCGTTATTCGTTTTTTAGGGGCGTTAGTAAAGACGTTGGCGAGGGGTCCAGTCCCATTGTACGGAGTCGTGAAGGAAGTGTCACCGGGAGGCTTCACACCGATTGCTAGAAGACCCCCGAGTTCCAGCCAGATCAGGGTTATGGTCATCTGTTTAATACATTCTCCAAAATCATGCGAGTGAAAAGTTAAAACTATGTATATTAAAAGTAGAAAAGTTATATAATCTACAGTTTACATTCTGCCATGAAACATCCAAAAAGAAAGCTATACCAATTATTTAGTTACTGATAACTATGGATCTAAACACACACTTCACAATCTTACTCACCTTCAAGTACATAACTAAACACAAAACTGGACGCAGATCTTCATCAAACGAGAGAAGAGAGACTGACCAACACCCACTCACCAACCTCGCTTGTAAACTATCAACACGGACTCACTGGTCGGAATATCACACAACGCCGACAACGTAAACGTAGTTGCCTGAACGTAATATCGCAGTTAGCACGCCATCTATTGAGCGAGTTAGGCACCAGAGTCAGAAAGTAATTGCTCATTCTCCTGAAAATCATGCATAAGTTAAGCCTTCGTTAACCATCATTCACGGTGCATTAAACGCGTGAAGACGTTTATCTGTTTGTATAATGCCTGAAGACTAGGTGGCCAGCTGTGTCAAGGAGATATCTCGAACAGTGTCTCACATGCGGCCCTCGGAAGCAGGCCATTACTCTTCAGTATGGTGCCTGTGAGGCACTCATTTCAACAACACCATGACGACCCAACTACCACACCTTAAGCTGAAAATACTGAAAATATAGGAGAAAATTGCTATCTTGTGACCATTCAAACTGGCATTGTCAATGCCAGTTCAGTAAATATCAGCTAATTAACTTTCTAAGTAGTCCACAGACCCAGTTTTAGTATGTATATGAGAAAGTTAAGAAAGTTACTACATTTTTTTATAGTAATTTATGATATCATACATATAACTGATGTAGTGCAACTTGAAAATTATTTACTTAGGGAAACAAGAATTTTTAACTTTGATATCAATAAACAGAACAAAAATAGATGATGAATAATTGATGAGTTTGGCAGGAATGCTCATGACACTAGGCATTTACTGGACCAAAGCCGCGAGTTTCGTTACTACGGAACACTACCAATACAAGCCACGTAGATGCTTGGTAGAAAGGCTGACATAGCTTCTTGACTTCAGAAAATGCTACCAACTGCATACACCAACTTTGAAAGTTCGCAATTGCTATCACATTATTTACTGCGAAGTGTTGAGCAGTAGAATGTAAACAATTATGATGAGACAGTGAAGTTACCTCGCCACGAAGTCTTAATCAGGGTCCCCGCCTAGCTCTGGGTGGAGGCGGACGTGTCGCCTATGAGCTCCTGGTTTGCTGACATGTGGTAGTTTGTGTTTGTGAGCAGGTCCTTGTGTCCTACCAGCTGGAGGGATGGTGGACCCCCATCCCGCTGTGAAGCGGAGGGATAATATTGGCCTTGAATTTACTGGTCCTGCAGCTTTCCGGCAGTTGAAGTGATCATGATTGATATGTTGCGGGTGGATGTGGCGTCTGTGTGCGGCGTTCAACTTGTTTCCGGGCATCGAGCATGTGAAATTCTGCTCCACGGTTGTTTATCGTGACTTTGTGGACCGCTATGACGGGAGGACGTTTACTCTGCATGAGGGTGGTGGTTCGGTGGAAGTGTCGGACAGGTGCAGTGAGACTACCTCTTTAGGGAGGAGGACTTTTCCCCGTTGGTGCTCCCGGATCTTTCGGAGTGTGCTGCTGTGGTGAGTGCTGCTTCTCAGTCTTCTGGTGCCCTGTTACCGGTCTATGATGCCAGCCTCGATATGGCTGTGGGTGTGGGTGTCGGGGTGTTAGTGCATCCTCGGCTCCCGCACCTCAGCCACCCTTGCCTGCCCCGTCTCCAGTTGTGTCTCCTATGGTATGTGGACTCGTGTCCCCTGGTCGTCGAGGCTGCGCCCCCGTCAGTACTGTCTCCGGAGGCTTTGTCTTCGGCCCATGTCGACGTGCATGCGGTGATGTCTCCTGCGGTGTGTGCCCCTGTTCCCCGAGTTGTTGAGGCTGAGATGCTGTGTGATCATGCGGTGTATGGAGTTGCACGAGCCGACCGAAGGTTCTACTGCGGTGCCTCCTAGCGGGGGAGATGGTTCCGACGACCTGCAACCTGTGTCCAAGCATATCGTGGCGAGCTTTGAGTCTATCTCCGCCTCCTGGTGAGGCCTTTGCGGACGTCAGGGATTTTGGGGACTCCGGAAGTCCATCGTCTGTGGATGGTGATGTAGGCGACGATGTTGGAGTGCCTGCGGCTCCTGTGGGCCGTGTTGCAGCAGTGATGGGTCGTGTAGTGGGATTGTCGCCTGGCCCTGGTCCTGTCTTCTCCGGCTGCCTCTGCATCCTCGGTTGCTGGTTTCCCGGGTTGGGAGGTTGTGGCACAGGCCGAGATTGCGGAAGAGGGTGGGGACTTGGTGATGGGTCTTAAGAGTATTTTAGAAAGAATATTTTCCGGAGGGCTCCCGTGCCTCTGACGTCCATGTCTGTGCCCTCCGCGCATCTGCCCTCGGTGATGCCGACCGCTGCACGGCTGCCCTCTGCTCAGCTGCCCTTTGTTACTACACTCCTGTGGTGTTGGGCCCCTGCACCATCACCCTGTGTGATTGTGTCCCCTGCGACTCTGCCCGCTGTGTTGCCGCCCTCTGTCCGGCCGGCTCCTGTGCTCCAGCACCTTGTGGTTCCACTATCTGCGCCGCCGAGCTCTGTGCGGCCTCTTTCCCTGACTTCCACCCCCGTGGTGGACGGCGCCGAGCTGGATGTTCTTCATGTATCATGAATGAACTTCATGTATCGACCGCGGGGATCACGTAGTCACGTTAACGCGTCTGCGTTGTTGTGGACTCGGTGGGATGCCTACAGGAAGGAATACCCTCGTCGTCTCTTTCCGGATAAATATGATGATGACTAACTGTGTTTATAGTGGCGCCTGACAGCTGAGTGGAGAGGGCTTTCAATTCGTAGTCCCGAGGTTCCGGGTTCGATCCCCGGTGGAGGCGGAAACAAAAATGGGTAGAGTTTCCTTCACCCTGATGCAACTGTTCACCTAGCAGAAAATAGGTACCTAGGAGTTACAGTTGCTACGCGCTGCTCCCTGGGGGTGTATAACAATAAGGAGGCCTGGTCGAGGACCGGGCCGCGGGGACACAAAGCCCCGAAATAACGTCAAGATAAGATTGTTCTTGTTTTGTGTTGCTTTATTTATCTGTTTTAATGTGCCGTGAGATATGTTTTTTTCATGTGTTTCTTGCCTAGTTATTGTTGGGTTATAGTGCTCTAGTACTTATTATTTTCTGATTGTATTTAATTGTCACCTATGTTTATGTTTCCATTTTTGTGTATTGTACGCCTTTTGTTTGTGTGTTTTCCTGTTCTAAAATTTGCTCATGTGTTTCTTGCCTTGTAAATGTGCATGATGATGTTGATGTTTTTCTGTTTGTTGTGTTTGTGTTTACCAAATGAAAAGAAAAAAAAGTTTTAATCACAGACAGTTCAGCTGTTTTTGGACGGAAAATGAGAACTCACACAGACAGCCGGATCACACTGCTGTTTGAGAGTGATGTGAGGAAGCTGAACAGAAGTGAGGAAACTGTACAGAAGTGAGGAAGCTGTACAGAAGTGAGGAAACTGTACAGAAGTGAGGAAACTGTACAGAAGTGAGGAAACTGTACAGAAGTGAGGAAACTGTACAGAAGTGAGGAAACTGTACAGAAGTGAGGAAACTGTACAGAAGTGAGTAAACTGTACAGAAGTGAGGAAACTGTACAGAAGTGAGGAAACTGTACAGAAGTGAGGGAAACTGTACAGAAGTGAGGAAACTGTACAGAAGTGAGGAAACTGTACAGAAGTGAGGAAACTGTACAGAAGTGAGGAAACTGTACAGAAGTGAGGAAACTGTACAGAAGTGAGGAAACTGAACAGAAGTGAGGAAACTGTACAGAAGTGAGGAAACTGTACAGAAGTGAGGAAACTGAACAGAAAGAATGCAATAAACCGTATTATGAAATACAGATTTTTGTGGAACAGAAAGTAAAGGATGTACACGAACTGGAAGATAAAAAATGGCTACGAGAACAAACTTTCGTGTTGGATTTACAGATCACTTAAGGAACATATAATCTCTTCCCACAACCAGACCATCACCAGAGAAGTCTTAACAAAAAACACGGAAATCATCGATAGATACAGCGATAGCAGGCGGCTTAATATCTGCGAGGTACTACACATTAAGAAGTCGACACCAGCAATCAACAGCCAATTAATGCACAACTATATTCTACCCACTTCAAGACTCCGCTCCAATATAGAAGCATTAAGAAATATAGGCCAATAGGCCCTTTGCAGTTACTTCCATTCTTCCCTTTAACTTACAAAATATTATACCCATTGTTTCGTGTTCTGTCTTGTGTTGAAAGTGTTTTCACCTCATCCAAAACTGTTGTAACATATCACCTCACCCAAATGCAGATATAAAATCAAAGCTGTTTAAACTCTGTTTAGTGTTTGCAAGTTACAGTTTTGTGTGTGTGTAAACTAAAGTCTTTGAAAATGTAATAAGTTATTACGAAACGCGTTCAAGTGTCGCGTCAGACTAGAAATAAAAATGAATTTTGGAGAATTGATTTTTCAATTACCATCAACAGTGAAAAGATATATAAGAAATAATGAGAAAATTCGTGTTAGAATTATTAATCTTACTTTTTCGATCATATTTAATAATATATGTCTACAGGAAAGACTGCTACCAAATATATATATAATATATATATATATATATATATATATATATATATATATATATATATATATATATATATAACTAGTATACATAATATATTCAAGCTATATATATATATATATATATATATATATATATATATATATATATATATATATATATATATATATATATATATATATATATATATATATATATATATATATATATATATATATATATATGTATGTATATCGACGCTGCTGTTTGGGGAACATGAAGTTGTTTCTGCAGAAGGTGTCCAGCAGGGAGACCCACTTGCCCCTTTTCTTTTTTGTATGGCTGTTAAAGAAGTCACAAGCAGGTTGACCAAGGAACTCAACATCTGGTTCCTGGACGATGGCACCCTGGCAGGGACACAGGAGTCCCTGCTAGATCTACAGCTGGTGAAATCTAAGGGAGAGAAGTTAGGACTCACCCTAAACCCATTAAAGTGTAAAATCATCTCATCTAGCCAACCAACCACAGATGCAGTGCGAACCATATTGCCAGGAGCGCAAGTGATCGCTCCCACCGACAGTGTGCTGCTAGGGGCACCTCTGGGCTCGAGCGCCATTGAGGTACTTCGAAGAAAAGCTGAACGACCTGAGGAGGATGGAGAGAAGAATAGGGGCCTTGGACGCCCACGATGCTTTGTACCTTCTCACAAGGTGCCTGGCTTTGCCCAGACTGACCTATTTCCTAAGGTGTGCTCCCTTCTTCGACAGCCCAAAATTAACAGAATATATAAATATAAATATAAATATAAATATAAATATGTTTATTCAGGTTAGGTACATACATACAAGTGATGTTACATTAATGGATCAATATATAGATAGAGCTAGTACATACAATGCCTAAAGCCACTATTACGCAATGCGTTTCGGGCAGGGTCGACTCACTCCTGAGGTCAATAACCATGAAAGTGTTAAACCTCTCCCTGCAAGATGACCAGTGGGACCAAGCAACGCCCCCAGTTAGACTAAGGGGGTATAGGTATTCGCAAGGCGACGCAGTTAGCATTGCCGGCATTCTTATCCTCGACCAGTGCTACAGGTGAATTAGTTAAGGAAATACTACCAGAATTCCTAAGAGATTCCATTGGGATTCATGATCCCAAATTCGCGGAAGGAGCCGGTCAGTGGGTCACTCTCGTCAACTCTCACCCTCGACCGACTTTTCCAAATGACTGCAAACATAGCCCCATAGTGGAAAACATCGCCACATCATTGCTGGAGGCAGCTTCCAGGAAAGACAAAGCGCGTTTTCTAGCTGTGCAAGCGCCCCATGCCGTGTTGGCAGTCCCTAATTCCGCCTTGGGGACCTGCCTGGACCATCGGACCCTAAGTATTAGTGTTGCCCTGCGCCTTGCCGCCCCTATCTCCACCGAGCACCGGTGTATTTGCGGCCATGCACAGGCAGACCAATACGGCAGCCATGGTCTCATCTGTCGTAAGACACAGGGAAAGATTGCCAGACATAAAGCAGTCAATGACATCATCAAGAGAAGTTTGGCTTCAGCTGGGTGTCCAGCACAAAGGGATCCTCAGTTGTGCAGACCTGACAACAGCCAAAAACGCCCAGATGGGGTCACCCTGCAGCCGTGGAGGGAAGGTAAACAGGTCGTGTGGGACTACACGTGTGCATTTATTTTGGCTGATACCTATCTACCTTACAGCGCAGCTGAGGGAGGCGGAGCGACCACCTTCAGGGAGACCCAGAAAACTAACAAGTACAGGGACCTAGAACGTTGTTACAGGTTCGTGCCAATAGGCTCTGAGACTCTGGGTGCCTGGGGTAAATGTGCACTTAAGTTCCTGAAGGAGGTGGGCGAGGAACTCATTGGGAAGACTAGAGACCCAAGAGCGGTCAGTTTCATGTTCCAGCGCCTCAGTGTCGCTGTTCAGAGGGGAAATGCGTGTTGTATCTTGGGTACCCACCCGACCCCCGAGGAGCTGGACGAGGTCTTCGAACACTGGTATATATATTGTTATGTTAGTGTGTGTTATATAAGTATTGTTATATAATTATGCCTATAGTTTCACAAATAATTGACGAATTTCATCTTAGGTTGTATTTCAAAGTTGGTTTAGTCATTTAATAAAAAAAATCGCTGTTGCGCATAATTAAAATTTTCATTGCGCTAGAGTTTATGATATTTAATAATTACGAAAATTCCGGTTGTTAGTTAACTGTTATTAGCTAACTATTTAACTATTATTAACTGGCTATATCAGTTAACTATTAACTGGCTATTAGGTGCAATATGTCCATGTCAACAGAGTACTGGATTGTGGTGACACCTTCTTAAGTTTAAACATAATCACCAAATAATTGCTTATCATACTCAGTCTTACCACAATTAATATTTCTTAAATAAAAGTAAAAAATGGCACAAAAATATAAAAAATATCCGACATGTCCTTCTAGCTCTCAAAAGTCAAATACCATTTTCTATTAGTGTGCAGGACTCATGGGGGGCTGTTGTATTTTTAGACTTTTTTTTTAATTAATTTTAAATAAAATTAAAATAGTTAGCTTTTATTTTGCTCTCGTTACACTACTTTTATTTTGCTAATTTCGGAATTTTTGCAAATTCTTGCTACGTTTCGTAAGCGTTTTGCAGAGTTGTATAATTGCTGTTTTTATAATTAGGTTTTTTATTCATCCAGTTTTAAATGTACTTTTGATTTAACTTTTTTTCGAGAAAAGGTTGTAATTCACACAGTTTTTTTTTATTTTGTTTATCGTTTAATGTTAGTGCAGCCAGTCCTATATTGTCACAACATAAAACAATTTTGTACACGAGTGCCCGAACCTAACTTAGCAAAGGATCCACGAACAGAACACGGGACAACATGTCAATTTTCAGAGCCGCTGTGATATATAGTACATCGTATTTTGGTCTTAGGGGAACTTATACGTGAAATAAGCAATGTATTATTCGAAAGGCCAGGTTGGCGTGTTTGTACTCACCTATTTATGTCCACAGGATTAGCTGTTGGACCCCACATTTCTAGCCGCCGGTTGTCTAACGCAATGACTGAACTATTTCATGCCATTTATCTACTACTCTCCCGCCAAAAGAAAAATTTCTAGCTTCTCAATGACTCATATGAGTCGTGCTGCCACCCGTGGCACTCTTCTAGTGATAGTCATTGTGAACATTTCATCTTTATACACTGTCAATTCCTCTAAGTGTTTTATACATCTCTATATCTCCCCTTTCTCTGTCTTTTTGAATGTCAGGTGTAGTTACTTCAGTCTCTCTTCATACCCCCCCCCCATCCCTCGTAGTTCTGAATGTGTGTGTGGTTGTCTTTGAATACAGAATTCTTTAACTTATGATTTAATGTAACAAAAAAAGCATTGTCGAACCCTTCTAAAGCATCAGATGACCCGTTATCCATCCTTAAGGATGTTATCCATAACATCCTTAAGGGGACACAGTTCAGAACACTTGTGCTATGGATCCTTTCATTTCCTTTTAGTAATAATAAGCTTCCCATCGCAGGTGAGAGAAAATAACTAACTTAAATTTTTTCACGCCAGAAAAGTTTGTCTTAAGACCTGGAATCCGTGCATATTGGAAAACTTTCGCGAGACAAAGAACAACGTCAAACTTTCACGAATCGAAGTTGTGCTGGCGATTGGCGAGGGCCTCCGGCTGTTGGCGTTTGTTATGTATAATACGACATATTATTTGACGCGGGGACTCGTCAAATTCCCCGTCAATTTTCCCCATTTGTTAATCTTATTCCCTGTTTATTGGACGGGTCATAGCTGTCAGTATGTCCACTTCTGGATCACCATTCCCTGATTTATTTTTGTAAGCCGGGACTCATCATCCACGCCGCACCAAGACTCATCATCCACGCCGCACCAGGACTCATCATCCTCGCCGCACCAGGACTCATCATCCACGCCGTACCAAGACTCATCATCCACGCCGCACCAGGACTCATCATCCACGCCGCACCAGGACTCATCATCCACGCCGCACCAGGACTCATCATCCGCGCCGCACCAGGACTCATCATCCACGCCGCACCAGGACTCATCATCCACGCCGCACCGGGACTCATCATCCACGCCGCACCAGGACTCATCATCCACGCTGCATCAGGTCTCATCATCCACGCCACGCCAGGACTCATCATCCGCGCCGCACCAGGACTCATTATCTGCGACGCATCAGGACTCATCATCCACGCCGCACCAGGACTCATCATCCGCTACGCACCAGGACTCATCATCCGCGCCGCACCAGGACTCATCATCCACGCTGCATCATCATCCACGCCGCACCAGGACTCATCATCTGCGACGCACCAGGACTCATCATCCACGCCGCACCAGGACTCATCATCCACGCCGCACCAGGACTCATCATCCACGCCGCACCAAGACTCATCATCCACGCCGCACCAGGACTCATCATCCTCGCCGCACCAGGACTCATCATCCACGCTGCATCAGGTCTCATCATCCACGCCACGCCAGGACTCATCATCCGCGCCGCACCAGGACTCATCATCCACGCCGCACCAGGACTCATCATCCACGCCGCACCAGGACTCATCATCCTCGCCGCACCAGGACTCATCATCCGCGCTGCGCCATATTCATCATTAACTTTCCCATTTCAGGTCCCTTATCTGAGTAACTTTTCGACCAGTAACTCTATTCAAAGTATATTTTTATCCAGTTCATTCGATAAGAGAATTCTCATATCGGTTATCAATGCTGCGTCAGCGTCTGGCTGGCTGCAGCAGCAAAAAAAAGATATCGAGATATCCGCAAAATTGTATTTCACTGCTGTATTTATAGGTACAGGAATTAACGAGAGAATTTTTCTATTATTGATTGTGGATATAGAAGTGTTCCGGCGACTCTTATTTTCAGCCTAAGAGCTCTGTTTACTGCAGGGATATTAAGAGCCCAGGGGGCCAGATTCACGAAGCAGTTACGCAAGCACTTAGGAACGTTTACATCTTTTCTTAATCTTTATTAAACAGTTAATGAGCTCGGAAGTACCAGGAGGCTGTTTACAACAATAACAACAATTGCTTGGCAAATTATCAAGCTTTTAAACTGTTTAATAAAATGTAACCAAACCCATCAGAGATTGAGGAAAGGTGTACACGTTCCTAAGTACTTGCGTACTTGCGAACGTAAGTACTTGCGTTCGTAAGCACTTAACACAACCGGTTAAAGAGGACAGGTTAAACCACCACACAACCGGTTAAAGAGGACAGGTTAAACCACCACACAACCGGTTAAAGAGGACAGGTTAAACCACGTCACAACCGGTTAAAGAGGACAGGTTAAACCACCACACAACCGGTTAAAGAGGACAGGTTAAACCACCACACAACCGGTTAAAGTGTCCTTCGGATATTTTCGACGATTTGATGGACAAAGCTTTGAGGAGTTAGTTTACACATTAAGCTGGCTGAGGAGTTAGTTTACACACTAAGCTGACTGAGGAGTTGGTTTACACACTAAGCTGGCTGAGGAGTTAGTTTACACACTAAGCTGGCTGAGGAGTTAGTTTACACACTAAGCTGGCTGAGGAGTTAGTTTACTCACTAAGCTGGCTGAGGAGTTAGTTTACTCACTAAGCTGGCTGAGGAGTTAGTTTACACACTAATCTGGCTGAGGAGTTAGTTTACACACTAAGCTGGCTGAGGAGTTAGTTTACACACTAAGCTGGCTGAGGAGTTAGTTTACACACTAAGCTGGCTGAGGAGTTAGTTTACACACTAAGCTGGCTGAGGAGTTAGTTTACACACTAAGCTGGCTGAGGAGTTAGTTTACACACTAAGCTGGCCGAGGAGTTAGTTTACACACTAATCTGACTAAGGAGTTAGTTTACACACTAAGCTGACTGAGGAGTTAGTTTACACACTAAGTTGGCTGAGGAGTTAGTTTACACACTAAGCTGACTGAGGAGTTAGTTTACACACTAAGTTGGCTGAGGAGTTAGTTTACACACTAATCTGACTGAGGAGTTAGTTTACACACTAAGCTGGCTGAGGAGTTAGTTTACACACTAAGCTGACTGAGGAGTTAGTTTACACACTAATCTGGCTGAGGAGTTAGTTTACACACTAAGTTGGCTGAGGAGTTAGTTTACACACTAAGCTGACTGAGGAGTTAGTTTACACACTAATCTGGCTGAGGAGTTAGTTTACACACTAAGCTGGCTGAGGAGTTAGTTTACACACTAAGCTGGCTGAGGAGTTAGTTTACTCACTAAGCTGGCTGAGGAGTTAGTTTACTCACTAAGCTGGCTGAGGAGTTAGTTTACACACTAATCTGGCTGAGGAGTTAGTTTACACACTAAGCTGGCTGAGGAGTTAGTTTACACACTAAGCTGGCTGAGGAGTTAGTTTACTCACTAAGCTGGCTGAGGAGTTAGTTTACACACTAAGCTGGCTGAGGAGTTAGTTTACACACTAAGCTGGCTGAGGAGTTAGTTTACACACTAAGCTGGCCGAGGAGTTAGTTTACACACTAATCTGACTAAGGAGTTAGTTTACACACTAAGCTGACTGAGGAGTTAGTTTACACACTAAGTTGGCTGAGGAGTTAGTTTACACACTAAGCTGACTGAGGAGTTAGTTTACACACTAAGTTGGCTGAGGAGTTAGTTTACACACTAATCTGACTGAGGAGTTAGTTTACACACTAAGCTGGCTGAGGAGTTAGTTTACACACTAAGCTGACTGAGGAGTTAGTTTACACACTAAGCTGGCTGAGGAGTTAGTTTACACACTAAGCTGGCTGAGGAGTTAGTTTACACACTAAGCTGGCTGAGGAGTTAGTTTACACACTAAGCTGGCTAATAAGCTTAAGAAGGCCATTTTGCCTGAAGTGTGAGCACCTCGGTACTCACACTTGGACGATATACCCTCCGGTAAAGCTTGTAAAGGAACGATATGACTAAATAAAGGGCATACCTAGAAGATCTGCTCTCCAATAAAGGGCATACCCAGAAGATCTGCTCTCCAATAAATGGCATACCCAGAAGATCTGCTCTCTAATAAAGGGCATAACCAGAAGATCTGCTCTCCAATAAAGGGCATACCCAGAAAATCTGCTCTCCAAAAAGGGCATACCCAGAAGATCTGCTCTCCAATAAAGGGCATACCCAGAAGATCTGCTCTCCAATAAAGGGCATACCCAGAAGATCTGCTCTCCAATAAAGGGCATACCCAGAAGATCTGCTCTCCAATAAAGGGCATACCCAGAAGATCTGCTCTCCAATAAAGGGCATACCCAGAAGATCTGCTCTCCAATAAAGGGCATACCTAGAAGATCTGTTCTCCAATAAAGGGCATACCCAGAAGATCTGCTCTCCAATAAAGGGCATACCCAAAAGATCTGCTCTCCAATAAAGGGCATACCCAGAAGATCTGCTCTCCAATAAAGGGCATACCCAGAAGATCTGCTCTCCAATAAAGGGCTTACCCAGAAGATCTGCTCTCCAATAAAGGGCATACCCAAAAGATCTGCTCTCCAATAAAGGGCATACCCAGAAGATCTGCTCTCCAATAAAGGGCATACCCAGAAGATCTGCTCTCCAATAAAGGGCTTACCCAGAAGATCTGCTCTCCAATAATAGGCATACTCAGAAGATCTGCTCTCCAATAAAGGGCATACCCAGAAGATCTGCTCTCCAATAAAGGGCATACCTAGAAGATCTGCTCTCCAATAAAGGCCATACCCAGAAGATCTGCTCTCCAATAAAGGCCATACCCAGAAGATCTGCTCTCCAATAAAGGGCATACCCAGAAGATCTGCTCTCCAATAAAGGACATACCCAGAAGATCTGCTCTCCATTAAAGGGCATACCCAGAAGATCTGCTCTCCAATAAAGGGCATACCCAGAAGATCTGCTCTCCAATAAAGGGCATACCCAGAAGATCTGCTCTCCAATAAAGGGCATACCCAGAAGATCTGCTCTCCAAAAAGGGCATACCCAGAAGATCTGCTCTCCAATAAAGGGCATACCCAGAAGATCTGCTCTCCAAAAAGGGCATACCCAGAAGATCTGCTCTCCAATAAAGGGCATACCCAGAAGATCTGCTCTCCAATAAAGGGCATACCCAGAAGATCTGCTCTCCAATAAAGGGCATACCCAGAAGATCTGCTCTCCAAAAAGGGCATACCCAGAAGATCTGAGCTCCAAAAAAGTCATACCTAGACGATCCTCTCTCCAGTAGAGCGCATACTCTAACAAACCGCTTTCAACACACTTGTGTTCGTAATACCTTTACCAAACCCAGCGGCTTTGCGTACTGTTTTACGCAAAAGTTAAATACATATTTTTTTGTTTTCTTCTGCGGTGGTAATCCCGAATCTTGTTTATACTTTTATAGGAGATTATTACAGGAGATTATTATGTGGCAAGTATTTAATCAACCAACAAACCCCCCTACCCCCACCCTACCCACCCCCCTACCCCTCCCCTACGCCCCCCCACCCCTCCCCTACCCCTCCCCTACCCCTCCCCTACCCCCCCTAAAAAAAAAATATGTGTATGTATAATTTGAAAAATAAAAACTTTTATTTACAAAAAAAAATTTAAGTCTAATATTTCCTAAATAGCTTCCGTTATTCTGCATCAATTTACTCAAAATCTCGAGATGTTTTTTGAGTTTCAATTACAACGAATTCAATAAAGAAGAAAACCAAAAGTTCGAATCGAAAAGATAGATTAATACACATTTTTTTTTTTAGCCAACACAAATTTGCAAAGAGATATTTTGTAAATGTTTTTGGCCATTTTCTCGAAGCTCGCGTTCATTTTGCCTTTTTCACATTGACTTTTTAGTACCATGTTTTCTAATTTGCATTTGTAGTAAAAAATCTTGAATTATTACTAAATAAAACATACATCAGTCTTGTTAACGCACACACACGCGTGCGCGCACACACACACACATTATGTGTTTTATCTTATTTGCAGTCTAAGGAAAATACAGATGAATGTGTGAGTGTGTCAGGGTGTAGGGTGAGTAGAAGTGTCAGCGTGTGGGGTGAGTACAAGTGTCAGGGTGTGGGGTGAGTACAAGTGTCAGGATGTGGGGTGAGTACAAGTGTCAGGGTGTGGGGTGAGTACAAGTGTCAGGGTGTGGGGTGAGTACAAGTGTCAGGGTGTGGGGTGAGTACAAGTGTCAGGGTGTGGGGTGAGTACAAGTGTCAGGGTGTGGGGTGAGTACAAGTGTCAGGGTGTGGGGTGAGTACAAGTGTCAGGGTGTGGGGTGAGTACAAGTGTCAGGGTGTCTGTCCTGAACTAGATCATAAGCTGGAAGAGAGGCCAGCAGGAAAATGCCACGTGTGTGCGAGGCCATGTAGAGACTGGTGTGGTCCATCATTCTGGTCCAGGTCCAGGTTCATTATCCCGGTGGACCGTCTCTAAGGGCCAGTGCGGCCCGGCCCCTAACTTGCTTACTCTAACTCATCGAGTCATTAGTACTCGCAACCCCCCCCCCCCTCGCCTCCTCGTCGTAGATCCCAGTAATCACAGCGTTACAAACACGGGCGCTGTGTCTACTGCGAAGGCATACATGTAGATGTAGTTACAGAGCAACATTAATGTATTATAGAACGCTACCATGCTGCTG